TGATCGTGATTTACATGTCCGATCCTCCTGGAATTCGTGGCAACATGCCACGCAGCCTGTGCCCAAAATCCACTGCCCACGCAGTCCGCCCGATTTTCGAGCCGAGAATGATGGTTTGCAAACCCCCATTCTCGAGCCGAGAGTGGTGGCCTGGAAAATGCCATTTTCGAGCCGAGGCGGATGGTTTGCAAACCTTATTTTCGAGCCGGGATTGGTGGCTTGCAAACCCCGATTCTCAAGCCGAGGAGATCTGCAAAGCCCCATTTTCGAGCCGACTGATGGTTTGCAAACCCATATTTTCGATCCACTACCATCCACGACTAGCCACTGATAGCCAGGAAGATGCACTAATCTCCACTGAGATCCACTAGTAGCGACTAAGTTCCGCTAATAGCCACTAACAGCCACTAACAGCCACTAATGGCCACTAATGGCCACTAATATCCACTAATAGCCACTATTAGCCACTAATATCCACTAGTAGCCACCATATATCCACTAATATCCACTATATATCCACTAATAGCCAGTATAATAGCCACTAAAAGCATACACTATACTAGCTTATGGCCACTAATAGGTTCAGAAAACACTTTTCGTGATTCACAAAAGGTTCCCTAGGAAATGCATATAACAAGCCGGAAGCTTTTCAAAGGTCTGGGGTGAAAGGTACACTCGATGTGGGGTGCAAGGCAGACGTCGCAACGGGAAGCGCGACGGTACTACACTCTGAAGCATCAGCCCTAACCCGAGAACCCAAAGTCACTGGAGTCCTGTTGCAAGTTATTCCCCAACGGCTGCTTCGACTGATAAACATCCATGCGGTCTCCGGACTTCCACACGGAGGTCTGAATAGTTTAGGGCTCAAGGTTTAGGGTTGTCGTCCCTGCAGAAGGTTGTTTAAGTATGACATCATGTACCCCAACCTCCTAGTTCAATCATTAAACCCGAGTGTGCTCCTAGCCCGTGGGTTTGTTTGCCACGTGCCAAAGGGGCCTTCTCGCTCGCAGAAAAGGCGGCAGTTAAGGGCTTAGTAGCCTGATCTCCTAAAAACCAAACCCCCTAAACCCCATGATCTATATGAACGACCGACGATCCGTAAACACAGGACGCTTGGGCACGGGGATCAGTTTGGGTTCGAGCACTGGGGGCGGGGGCAAGCTTCAGGACTTCAGGATGCCAGGGTTGAGCGCTGAAGGGCGTTTTGGTACCAAAGACACCCACAAGCAGACGCGACTCCGAAAACAGTTCGAAGGGTGCCCCTTCAGCGGTTTAGGGTTTGGGGTTTAGGGTTTAGGGCTTAGGGTTTGGGGTTTAGGGTTTAGAAAGTGCTGCCGCTGCCAACTTCATAGCGGGTGCTATGGCCCTTGCCACTTAATTCGAGCAACCTGAAAGCAGGATGTCAGATTTAATTCGAAGCCCTAACCCCGAACCCCTAAACCTAAAACCCTAAAGCCCTAAACCCTAAACCCCAAACCTTATAAACCCCAAAGGCTTCAAGGAAACCCAAGCAAGACTCACCGCTGTGCCGCCGGCGCCGTTCGTCTCAAATGCCTCTTTGGCATAGGACTCGTTGGTAAAGATTTCGTATGAGCCTGCAGTTTAGGGTTTAGGGTTTAGGGTTTAGGGTTTAGGGCGGACAGTACCCTGAACCCAAGACCATAAGCCGCAAGCACGAAAAGATCAGGGTGTTGGCCTATGTTGCAAAGCCCCGAAAGCCTGAACCCTGCGTAAAGAAGGATAGGAAAGCAATGGGCTTTCTCGGACTAAGCTTACGACTTCTTGAGGCACTTACACTTACATTGAGTCTCAGCCGCCAAGCAGGGCTTAGGGTTTAGCCCTGAAGCCCAATATTTTCCGCATGCGAAGTCCCAGATCCCTCCAATAATGTCAACCTAAGGACTTCGCGCAACCCAAAAACCCTTTCACCCTGAGCCACGGTGTAGGGTGTGGGGTTGCGGGTTCAGGGTACCGGGTACCCCCCAAGGAAGCTGTGTCTCAAACTTTCAGAACCGTATTAATAAACTATGATAAACCCACCAAATACAAAAGCTTGGTGCTGCAGATAAACCCCTACACTCCAAAAAAATAGGTAGCTGCCCGGCCCTTCAATAGCCAAAATAACCAAGCTTTGGGCTAGCGCCGGGGATGCCTCCTGGGTCAAAAGCGCTGCTTTTGCAGCGCTCTCGTCCGAGCATATGCGATTCCCTTTACGATTTACCTGTAGCCGAAAGAACCTACCTTATGATTTCTATATATAGTTCCTTAAAAAGGTAAGTCTTTTGGGCCACAGCTCGAGTTTAGGGTTCAGGGCTTGGGGTTTCGGGATCTCCTGCAACTCTCCACAGGAATTATGGTTTACGCTTTCGAGATACCGCTGACCGGGGGCTTAGGATTTAGTTAAAGGAAACTACAGGTGCGGAGTTTGGGGTATATAGGGCTTCTATAAGACTTCCATAAGGTATATAGACCTTCCATAAGGATCCTATAGCGGTAACTACCCACCTGAAAGTGTCCTAGACTTAGGATTTATGGTTTAGGGATCCAACATAGGGCCTGGACTACAAGAGGGCTTTGCGGGTTTTCTTGTACTCTAACTATGCAGGGACTCTTGGAGAGGACATCAATGCTATCTCAATTCTTCAGACCTCCCTACCTTAAGAACCCAAAACCCACTTTTTTGTAGGTTCTTATTATAAACCCTGATATGGGATTTATAGGGACCCTACAAAAAAGTAGGCTTTGGGTTCTTAAGGTATGCCCTAAACCCTAAACCTGAAACCCAAGCTCCAGATCCGAGGCAAGGCCTCTGACAAGTTCCCAGAGGGGCTCTGGCTGGTTGTCTCGGACCGACAGCACCTTTTGGGGCTTAGTGTTCAGGGTTTAGGGTTTAGGGGGTTCAGGGTTTAGGGCCTTTAAAACCTAAACCATAAACCCTAAACCGTAAGTTTAGGGTTTAGGGTCAACTACCAGTGTTCTATCCAAAGTG